ATTTCGGGTCTGTCATGCAACAACGTTTTTGGGCAGTGGGAATCTTGAACTAGGCATATGTCTAATATGCCCAATATGCCCCACGTGCCCCAAGCCTTTTTGCAGCCAGCCCTGCGAGAATGCGCCGTTGTATCGAATGCATTAAAAATACTTATTTTGGTTGGTATCTGTGGTCTGATGGTGTGTAACAACCAAATATGCCGCGTGTATTTGGCCATGTTTTTGTTAAACAGTTACTTGGCATGCCTCATCACACCACATTTCCAAAGCTGGCTATTGACACTGGCTGTATTCCTAACTATGCGTTCTTCATTTCGTGACGTGACCCGTTTCAGGCGGGGCTGCGGCCAATCTGTGAATTCATGACTTTCAACTTTTCCATGCAAGCTATCGACCAGGTGATCAACTCGGCAGCCAAGACCTACTACATGTCTGCCGGCCTGGTATGTCATCTCTCGTCTCGGAGCAATCGCTAGACTCTACACAAACACAAGTAGCTCTTATGCTCATTGGTTGGGCAATATCTCATGTCCTTTTAGTGGCGATAGGGACGGGGAAATAGTTCGCGGAATATACAGAAATGGCGATCAAGTATGGTGCCCAGCCTCGTGGGCTACACGCCCCAGCTTGGTGTTCGCCACGGAGGACGGGATTGTGTTTTCTTCGTCACACTGTATTGCATGCATGGTATTACGCCTTTCAGAGAAAGAGTCGTATAGCTCACTGCGAACCACGCTCCAACATTCAGGCGCTGTTGTTACCTGGGAGGGCCCTGGGGCCACCCTCCGGATGGTCTAAGGATCTTGTTATAGGGGCAGGTGAAAGGACCACCCCTTTGCCCCGGCTTGGTCACGTGCTTGGCTGTGGCTCTGTTGTGACTTCCGGTGCTGCCCTGCCGAGCTGACCACGACCATGGCCCGTCGTGCACAGATGAACGTCCCGATCGTGTTCCGCGGCCCGAACGGCGCGGCGGCCGGAGTGGCGGCGCAGCACTCGCAGTGCTTCGCTTCCTGGTACTCCAGCTGTCCCGGCCTCAAGGTCAGTGCAGGCCTCGCGGCGACTCCCAGTATTGAAGGCGTCCTGGCCTCAAGGTCAGTCCACATCTCGCGGCGATTCAGGGCACTTCAGCTGTCGTGGCCTTGAGGTCAGTCCAACCTTCGCAGTAACTTTGGACACTCCAGCTTTCTCGGCGTTAAGGCCAGCCCAGACCTCGTGGTGATTCCCAACACTCCGGCTGTCCCGTTCTTCATAAGCCGTGGAAGCCCATCCCTGCGGAGTAAGCCCATTCCTTACCTATGACATCACGACGAAAGCCCATTCCTACCTGTGACGTTACGATCCAAGCCCCACTGGACCGAGAGGCGAAGTAAGTGCGTTTGTTTATGAGTAAGTCGTCTCTGGTGGCATAGCAACACAAAACAGCGGTCGATGCGCTGTTGAAGGCATGCAGTTGGGGATGAAAGGTGTCTGGATATCTCAGTAGAGTCTGGATCGTTGCTGCCATGTCGGTTGATCGCCATTAAACCTGGGCCGGTAGCGACCAGTCGAAGTCAGGTTTAACTGACTAAAACAGGCCGTCAAAAAACTGCCGGTGGCATAAGCTGCCATAAACCACGAAATTTCAGATACTATGGCAATTACTTCTGGTTATGCAACTCTAAAACAGCTTAAAAGTACAACTAGCACATGCATATGCATGTACGATGTACAAATACGTATAATAAATGCGCACAATACGACTAATACACTTCTCAGAACAAAATGTGGCTTCCTCGACAGAACAAAGATTGTGAGCTTTATCATAGGTTGACGACACTCGTTGTTTCGACGTTTGCCTGTGTTACGTATTTCCACCATATTTGCGGCCGACTCTACAGCACCAACTTGCAGTGAAGTGGACGGACTTCAATCAGTGTTGATCGTAGCCATCGTTTTCACATTTGCCAGAATCTAGTTTCATCTGGCCAAAATGCCATTCTTGCATCAGCCCACGGGTACTTCGTTCTCGCCGACCTTCCTACGCCTCTTGCGATATCTTGGCTATGGGTGCATGCAGCCCGCCTAGTGATGATAATCACGAACTTTTCTTTCGAAACCATATTTTACGATCGCACCTGTGTCCTGCTGCGTTGGGCTAGCGGGCACGCCGTGCTCGTCTTCTGGCCCCGTGACAAACGGCGCTGCGCCACGGCCGCCGCAGGTCGTATCCCCGTACAGCTCTGAGGACGCCCGCGGTCTGCTCAAGTCGGCCATCCGCGACCCGGATCCGGTGGTATTTCTGGAGAACGAGCTGATGTATGGCCTGCCGTTCGAAGTGAAGGAGGAGCTGCTGAAGGACCGCGACTTCCTGGTGCCCATCGGCAAGGCCAAGATTGAGCGCGAAGGTGCGGCACAATGGCGGTGTGGCAGATGTCTATATGCAGGGGCTGAATTGTTGGAATGTCTTTTGTCTATAGCATGTTCACAGTGTGGAAGCGTTTTGCGATATGTGCACAATGATCTATTTATATTTCAGAGACTCAGCAAACGGTTGTGTATTTTGCTTGGTGGCGGAGTTGATCAATGAATTGTGCCGCCGCGCAGTCTGAGCCGTGTCCATGGCAGCACCAGTGACTTGTGGGCGGTGTCATACCACGAACGTTGCATTCCCGGCCCTGCGAGGTGGCATTCGGCGCCCGCGGTGACTCGCCCCCGGCTCACAGGCTCGCACGTGACGCTGGTGGCGTTCTCGCGTCCGGTGGGCATCTGCCTGGAGGCGGCCGAGCAGCTGGCTGCCCAGGGCATCGAGTGCGAGGTGATCAACCTGCGCACGGTGCGGCCGCTCGACATGGCCACCGTCGAGAAGTCCGTCACCAAGACGCACCACTGCCTGACCGTGGAGCAGGGCTGGCCGCAGTGCGGCGTCGGCTCCGAGATCTCCGCCCGCATCATGGAGTGTGAGTTGCCGTGGCCACGGGCGCGGCGAGGCGCACCAGGCGCCCCAGCTCGCTTCAAACAGCTGCCGCGCATGGTATAGTGTCCTCGACCGTGGTTGGGGGAGTGGGGCCGGGCAGTTTCGATTGACCGTATTCTGTGCGTCATGACAAGCGGCACTGTAAATTGCAGGGTCATATTGTGGTCCCCGATCTCTTGAGTCAGTGATCATGTCCCCTTCGGGAAAACGGCTATCGCATGTTTCTCACGTAGGCTACCATCGTTTAAAACTACTGGACAAATACCGATGTGGATAGACGAAATAGGAAAGAATGTACGAAATATGGATGTTACAGAAGACAATGTCGAACTTTCTGAACTTCTTTGGGTCATTCGTTGCTGCCATACATGTGAGCATGTTTTCATTCGTCCAATCATCTGGTCTTCAATGGCATGTCACAGTACAGTGTACGCCTGTCCCACATGTGTACTATGTTGGTAATTCGAAAATCGTAGACATGCCTGGGGATTGCGCCTGCTGGGTTCGCGGTCTTTCTGATGCGTGTTTTTGTTGCGCCTTTTATAATTGCATTTGATTGCGCCAGCTGCCCTACACGGCGTGCCGTAGGCGACGTGGTCGCCCATTGACACCCTGTCATGCTTGGTGCCGACTTATCATGTTTGTGAGGCAGGTTTCCAGCGACTTCGTATAGTGTTTTCCGCGATTCCGGTGCCCGTGCGCTGCCGCTCGGTCAGTGTTCTTGAGCGCTGTCCCAGTGCGCAGAGTGCGGAGCCTGACCAGCTGGCGTGACCTGTCCCGATGCTCTCCACGCGCAGCTCCGGCCTTCTACGAGCTGGACTACCCGGTGACGCGGCTGTGCGGCGCCGACCTGCCGATGCCGTACGCCAAGAGCCTGGAGGAGGCCGCCCTGCCCACCGCCGCCGACATCGTCGCGTCAGTGAAGAAAGTCCTCAACGCGTCGTGAGCTGGACCTGCTCGAGGTTTCGGGGACGGCAGGCGTGGCCGCCTCCACCGTGAAGCGCACCCGGCCCCGGCCCCGCACAGCAGCGCTAGGCCCGTGTGGTGGTGGTACCGGTGTTACTGATCGTGTCTGAGCGTGTTTTATGTTTGGCAGAATGTACGGGGGGGGGGGGGGGGCAGAGTGTACGGGGAGACGCGGCGTACTGCTAGTTTGGCCATGCGCAACACCCAGCTTACTTCAGCGGGCCCTGAGCTTGGCGCGAACGTTTTGACGACGAGTGGGTTTTTCTCAGGTGGGCGCTGATGGTGCAATAGCGCGCGAACCTCATAGTGGAGCTCACTGCTTCTGACGCTCGTCATGCGGTTGATGTGGTCATGTGGTCCGGGTCATTTGGCCGTGATATCCGTGTTGTATACAGATCGAGTCTGCGCGTTCTGTGGTTTTCCTCAATGCCGTGATGTTCAGGATGTCCGGGCACGATATAGTGGTCGTACTGCATGAATACCGGGACCAGTCATGGCCGTACCCGCAGCAAAAAAAAAAAAAAAACAAGAACAGATTCATCAGTCTCCAGAAACCACCACTTGTTTCAAACCTGCGCCACGTATCAGTCTTCAGTAACCACCACTCGTGTAAAACCTGCCCCACGAGTGCTGGCCATCCACAGGGTTACAAAGGGCATATAAAAAACAGTGGGTCAGAATCAGGGCGTCAGAATTCCTGAACTAGTGGTTATGATTAACGGGGATTGTCTGCCGGTCGGCTGCCGTGGCAATATTGCTACCACTAACTAGCGAAGCTAGGATGAAAGGCCAGCGGGACCGTTCCCTTCCCGCGATAATTGCACATTCGCCCTTGCGTTGATTCGCTGAGCCCCGGCTAGTCTTCCACACTTCGACGCACTTTGCTGACGACCCGTGCAAGTAAACTCAAGCAATGGTAGCAAACCAGAGCGTTGATGTAAAATCCCGTAACAGCCGTGTTCCGCAGCAGTCCTTGGCCGTCCCGGAGTCCAGTCCTCGAGCCCCCCCCCCCCCCCCCCGCTCCGAGCCGACAGACGGCCCGTCGACCGCAGGTGGTGACGCCGCCCAGGCCCACCCGCCCTCAGCGCGGGCACATGGCGTGCCGGCCGCCGTCCACGGGCAGCGAGGCGCCTGTGATGAAGGCAGCCTCATCCGACGCCAGGAACGCGATGGCGGCAGCCACCTCGTCCGGCTGGCCGGGCCGGCCGAGCGCGTGCGTGGTGCGGCTCCGCTCCAAGAACTGCTCGTAGGCGGCCTCGTCCAGACCGCCGCGCTTCTGCAGCTCCGTCACCGTCACGCCTGGGTTGACGGCCGTTGACGCGCACCTGGTGCGGCGCCAGCTCCAGGGCCAGGCAGCGCGTCATATGGTCCAGCGCCGCCTTGGACATGTTGTAGGCCAGCAGGTTGGGAAAGGCGCGGATCCCGTTCACGCTGGAGACGTTGACGATGTTGCCCTGCGCCGCCACCAGGTGCGGCACGGCCAGCATCGTCAGGTGGTACACGGCGCGCACGTTGATGCCCATGAGGCGGTCGTATTGCTGCAGCGACGTGGTCTCGACACTGCCCAGCTCGAGGATGCCGGCGCAGTTGACGAGCACGTCCAGCCGGCCATACTTCTGCACCGACTGCTCCACCAGCCGCTCTGCATCTGGCTCACGCGTCAGGTCGCCAGTGATGGTCAGCAGCGGCTGGCCGCGGCCCGCCTCCGCGCACTCGCTGGCCACGCGCTGCAAGTTATCGGCGCGTCGGCCCGCCAGCGCCAGTGTGGCGCCACGGCCGGCGAGCAGGCGCGCTGTGGCCGCCCCAATGCCTGATGAGGCGCCTGTCACCAACACTACTTTACTGCTGAAGGCCATCACTAAGGCTTGGTGTTCTTTTGACCTGCAACAAGGGATCAATTACAAAAATACTACTTTCTTAATCGTAAATCTCTGATAGTTAACTGAAATTAATATCACAATTTTATATAAATACAGATAGCAGACACAATTTCAGCACCCGTGTGCTGTAAATCGCGAGCACTCAGAATTTGGCTCAGAGTCAGCACTTTGTCACCATATGGCGCAAGGTTGCCAGGCCACCATATGACAACGTGGATTAATTTTTTGAAGGCTGGCTCCCATCCAACAGTCTTGAAATCAAACGTGCGTGACTATCATGAGCAGGGCATGGACCAATATGTTACATCCCTCAATTGCCAGGTGGTGACGACACACTTGACACTACATATGGAGATTTGTTAGCAAGATATGGCATGTTACAAGACCTCGCCGGGGCAGGGTAGGGGTAAGGGTAAGAACGAAGTTTAGAGCAGGTTTTGGAAAGTTTGGGCGGAATTTTGCAAGTAGGGCAGCTCATCTTTTTGGTGGTTTAGGGTAGCTTGTGGTACCTTGAAGCAGCCATTATGTATATCGACGCAGATTTGTTGAAGAATTGCGCAGAAGTAAAGGAAATTGTAGCAACAGATTGACATATTTCACGGCGCGACACGCATTCCACGCGTTTTAACAAGTGAGCCTCTTCACTGGCCCTTCCGCCAGACTCCTCGGACGCAGCGAGTCCTTTGTATGGTGTCCGTGGCAGCGGTGGCCTTGGCTCAGCTGGCATGTCGGCGACCTGCACGGTGGATGGATGCCGGGCCGCTTCATCGCAGCAACGGAGAGAGCAGTCCCGGGCCCCGCTGCTCGGCACGACCTTGCAGTGTTGTGTGATGTCATTAAGTCTTGGAAAGTCTGAACTAGAAAAAGCCAGAACTCCTAGCCAGTGAGGAACAAGCTGCAATTTTTGCCAATTTACGCAGGAAAACATCTTGACTCAAACGAAATTATCTCATCCTGTACTGAGTACAAACCCCAAACAGGAGAATGAGCATGTCATGATAAGGGTCAGCAAGGAAAAAATGGATATTTAATGGAAGCCGATTGGCGTTGGTGTTGTTGTTGGGCGGTCGTCTTGATCATTGATAAACCGGCCGCACGAGGAGGAAGTGATTATCAATGGGATGCTGCAGCGATGACGTAGCGGAGGAGTGCGCTCGAATAGGCACTAGTGGGCGGCTTGCATGTGACCGATGCGGGGTCTGGCAAGCAGCACTTCCTTGGGGCGATTATCTTCATTAATTTTCGGCCAGTATTGTAATATGAGCTCGATTGTGTGCAGATGGTGATAAGCGCGTTGACCTCCATCAAACTGGAGAAAGAGACGAAAATGTAAATTGATGACTGCAATAATAGCGGAAAGGGGACGCGAGCGATGATTACATCCCAGGAACATGATACTTTGTTTTCTGTAATGAGACGCCAAGTGTTTCACCACACCTTCTCTGTATTTTAGTCTCGCACCATCAGGGACTGCAGCCCCTGACGGTGCACCTGCACTCGCTGCTCTCCCAACGGCGACTCCCCGACAGCGGGGGCCGCGAGCCGGGACCGTGCGAACGAGCCGGGACCGTGCGAACTGCGGCGGCGGCGCGCATCTGCCGCGCGGCCGGGGCCGGCCTGCGAACCTGACCACGTGCCGTGCCCCGTCCCAGCAGGGGCGCAGGACACATACAACTGCACTACGAGCACCCCACCCTGATCCTAATGATGAACAGGTACACAATCGCACGGCCCCGGCTCGTTCGCACGGCTTCGGCTCGCGGCCCCCGCTGTCGGGGAGTCGCCGCTGGGAGAGCAGCGAGTGCAGGTGCACCGTCAGGGGCTGCAGCCCCTGACGGGGCAAGACTAAAATACGGAGAAGTTGTGGTGTGAAACACTTGGAGTTTCATTACATTTTCCTTCCTCATCAGCGACGCCGCTTCCATAAATATTGGCGTATCCCGTTATCTAAAGAAATACTGCGTGAGTTTGTTGAGGAAGGGAGCAGAGCGTTCCACGCATGTCGTTTATAATCGGATGGGATGAGTTACGAAGAGTGCTGAGCGCTTGTCCCGACGAATGAGAGCCTGTGCATGTGACTGTCTTTTGCATACTACCTTGATGCGAGGCGGGGCTGTTAAGATTGTTGTTAGTTCAGCCGTATGCACAGTGTTGAAATTTCACAAGCGGCTTGATTTACTGTCATTGTGATATACGAAGGCGGCTCCTGTGCAGCCATCACCCCGGCAGCCGTCAGTATAAATAAAGGTGTGTTGGTCATATTCTCCTTCGGACTGAGCGACGAGTTGCACTTCGGTTTCTGATACGTTTCGTTTTTTGTGTTTAAAAGAAAGATTACGTTAGGTATGGGGTCACCCCAAAAGGGTCGGGGACTGGGAGTTGGGTCGTATGGATGTCCGGGAGATTACGCGTTCGTTTGCGCTCGAATAACGCGAGTGTTGATCGTTGATGCTGAAGTTCCGCGTTGGTAACTGTGCGGCTGGGGCCGAGGCATGCGAGAGTGCTGTATGTGGGGTTACCAACGTGCGCTGTGACGCGTGCGTAAAATCTGAGAAGTTGTAATTTTCGTCCGTGTGGTAGGGAGGGGATATTCGTGTGCGCTAGCAGATTTGGGACCGGGGAGGTGCAAGTGCACCAGTCACTATACGGAGGGCTGCGTTCTGTATTGTCTTCAGGGTTTCGACTTATTTGGAAAAATATAAAAACGAAAAACATGATAGTCCAAGATCGGGCGTACCAGGGAGGTATAGAAGCGGAGGAGAGTGCGTCTGTCGGCCCCCCCCCCCCCCCCACTCCCGTCCTGCTATGCATTTTATTATGTTCAGTCGTCTGGCGCACCATTGCTTAAGATCAGCAAAATGCGCATTGGAAGTGAGACAGCGATCTGATGTTATTCTAAGGTATTAAAACTGTGAACTGGAAGGATTATTTCACCATTAAGATCCAGGGGGTGGAGGTTGAACATCATTTCGCCTAGAAAAGACAACTACCGCTGACTGTTGTGTGTTGGCTGTGTTTGAACAGAAAGCGTATGTTCGATATAAGGCGGCCCAAAAAAGCTCACAGGCTCGGAGTCAGGTTACAAGGAATGTGTGGGAGATCAAATGCTCGTTGCGCTCCGGAAGCATAAAGACCAGATGTGTCACATTGTCCCAGCGGTGTCAACGCCGTCTAAATTGCTGTCTTCTTATCCTTATCGCTAGTTAGATTGTCTTGCTTCTTATCATGTTAAGCCATGCATGTTGCTACCAGCACAGCCCCTGCAGTCAGAGATCCGCCAATAAATTGAATAAATTGAAGTGCTTCAACGACAGATCTCGAGCAAAATCTTGTGCAAGTACCAAGCTTTTTATTAATACCAGTTCACGCAGTTGCTTAGAATAGGTGGACCAGCTGTAAACAGTCGCATACCAGCAATGCGCGCGGCAGCTTTTAAGTCGCGAGCTTTTATTCTTCACATAATGAAATGTTGATGCATTTTTTGAAGGGAATGTTTCACGTTTGAAGATATTGAAGTAACGTGAGATATAATGAGACAAGCTCACTTATTACTATTGGCATGCTTCTAAGTCGAAAAGGTTGCTCAAGGTAAACAACTCCTCCGTTTTGAAACGACAAGCGCTTGCGCGCCTGCTTCGCTGCGCACAATGCAAATAACTTAGAACTGTTAATTATCTATTATTTGCAGTACGACATCGTATCTTGCACAACACGGATTAAAAGCCAGTTGACAGCCGTTATAGTTGGTTATTGTGCTCGCGAACACCAGATATGAATGACTCGACCATTATATTTCCATCTTATTTTCTTGGCCTTGATCGCCGCATGGATTATGAAATGGCAGGATATGAGTGACATTATTATGACGTCACGAATTTCAAGGTGACCTTGAAATACTCTCCCCCAGTCTATCATCTTGGCGGGCGTGCAGCTCAGGATTTAGACGGGTTTCAGGTTCTTAAGATCGGCAGGGCTAGGAACTGCACCAGTGGTCTTAAGATGGCTATTTACTTTAAAACTCCATGAAAATGTGGAACGCTCCTGTTTAACCTAATAAATTTGTTCAGTTACGTGAAAAATTAATGCAAAAGTAGGTCGTAATCGAACAACATACCAATGGACTACATTCTGCAAGGATAATCAGTTACGATGTTTTAACGATCTGTAAATTCTCGCTTCAGCACACAAAGCCTTGTTTCCCAAAGCGCTGGATAATATTAAAACAGAAGGCTAGTAGGAAAACGCTATACATATACATCGACTAGCCATGCGACGTCGTGGAAGCCCTATGAACAATACGCGATAACAGCATGACTTTGTTTTGCTGAGCACCTTGCTAACAAACGGCGTCACTAGTCCAAGTAAGGCCGATAATTCCCCGATATTTTTTGCCTTAAGTTAACTACCATAACCTAACCTTCCGCACCTTTTTCATGCTGCCTTTTCTCATTTTTTGCACACATTGGAACATTGTTTTAGTTAAACATGACCGTCGGAAAATACACTAGACGTGGTGCAAACAATCCAAAATTATGGCCTGTTACGCACGAGTGGGTTACAGACCACGCGTAGGCACGAAGTCACCACCGGGGGCACGGTCTAAAAACCGGCATATGACACAGACAGACAAGTTCTCCGAAACGGCTTATCCGATCGCCTTGAAACCTTCACCATTCGATTACGTGTAATGAGATAAGTCACGGGGAGGCAATATTGAGTCCTGACCTGAGGTCAAACACCTCGAAAGCGCGAAGGGAAGATTTTGCATGCAAATGCAGACAACCCAAATATCAGGGCCTGCTGCACCGATCGCTGTAAAACTTTCACTACTGCATGCCCCATACCTGAATCCCTCTTGCAGTTCCAAATTTGGCGAACCTTGGTCAGGTCAAAAGTCGTCGAATTCAAACGAAGTCCAAAATTCTTGCTGGCAGACAACTTATAGGTCAGAATCTGCCACGCTGATCACTGCCAAACCTTACCACCCAATACGCCATTTCCTCTTCATTCTCTGTTGAAGTTGCAAGCATGGTGTCATTTATAACCCCGCGCTTTCCTTTACGATTGTTCCGAAGGAGACGTGCAACTTGGTCAGGCTGGCCCTATGAGATTGAAATTCTCCTTAGCGGAAGTGTTGTGCCGAAAATCACGCACTGAATTGTGCATGGTGTCGACACGATTAACAGAACAATGGCAGCGAACCACGTGATGGTGCGTGGCTGATCATTGTGTGTGGTGTGCGAATACCGTTTTGTCGTGATTATGTACATGTCTCTCAAGCAATCTTCCGGTGGTTTCTGGTTTCAAGTCGTTCAAAAGTACGCCGAATCGAACTGAGCATAGACCGAGGTGGGCCGATTTGGTCAGTGTCCTATTGCAACAGACCAATGACCTAAGAATCCTCCCTTGGGAACATGCTTCTGCACTCTGTATATCGCTCGTCGCGGATGTACACGTCCCAGAAGCGAAAGGGGTAAAATTGACGGAAAAGACGTCCCCGGTTTAGTCAACGGGAACCTTGAGCTCCACCGCGCCTATTGTTGCGCCGCCGTGTCAACGCTTGATTCGACGATTACAGCCGTCTCAAATACACCGAATTAAATATACCTTGCACATTGTACTTTGTGTGTGTTTGCGTGCCTTTGCCTCACCAAAAAAAGAAGACAACGCCATTGCATTAGCGCACATGTGTACAATGTATCGCTGTAGCGTGCACAACCGCGAAAAAAAATGCCCCGCGCGTTTCGGCACTACCAAAACAATTGCGTATGGCTTCATGGCACATTGCAGCTGTTAGGTGCGTCCCATCGAGAGGTAAATATTTGAAATGATCGGAGCAATCGTTCCTGAATGAGCAGTTTGCAGGCAATAATTTTGGACCTTGAGAAACTTGACGACTGTTGACCTGGCCTAGGGTTATCACAGTTGGAAATGTGAGCCCTGTAAGAGGGAATCAGTTGTGGGGCATCCTATGGTAAAGGTCTGGCAGTTATCAGTTTGGCAGGGTTCTGAGCGATAAGTTGCCTGCGATCAAGAATATTGGACTTGATGAAATTTGACAACCTTTGACCCGAACCAGTCACCAATTCTAGAACTGCGAGGGAGAATCAGGTATGGGGCATCCGATAGTGAATATTTTTTAGCGATCGGTTGCAGTAGGCTCTGAGATCCGAGTTGCCTGCATTTGCATGTAAAAAAAATTTTCTCCGCGTTTTCGGGGTGTTTGACCTCAGGTCAGGTTCTCGATGTCGCCTCCCCAATATTCACCTCATTGCACAGAATCGATTGAAGGTTTCAAGGCGACCGGAGGGGCCGTTTCGGAGCATATGCGTGTCTGCGTCATATGCCCGTTTTGAGCCCTGCCACCACCAGGGCCGATTGGTCAAAAAGATCCGTGTAACATCGCCGGCTCTCAAACTGGAGAATGACCGCGCACAGTTTCGCAAAAGGAGTTGGGAGGAGGGGGCGAACAGCAAAAGACTTACTCACCCTGAAACACAAAAAACGGGTTCCTGTCCGGATTGGAGACGCTCCTCGAAGCTGTGGGGTCCCGGAAACCAAGTGGTATGTGCGTGAGGGGGTGGGGCATGGGGGCGCTCAATAGGGATTCGCAAAATAATACATCCGAAAGTCCTTCAACTACATTGCACCGTTCAAAAGTTAAACTGGGGTGTATACTTTTACCTTTTTAAGACTGCCCGCTGCACAAATCAAGTTACTGCGACACCATAAATATTGTCAGTTCAGCCACCAGACTCCAGCACCACTCCGCGGTGCTCCGAAGGCTAGTCCGTTCTTACTACCGATCTGAAAATCCGCACAGGTGAAATACACACCCAGATGACCTTCTTAAATACATGACAAATTTATGTCCTTACGGGCCCAAAGATACTTCTTCAGATGCGTCATCATTTCTGTCCGCCAGTGTGTCACCGGCCGAAGGTCAGCCGTGGGCTCGGGGCGAGGCAGACGTCACGGGGCCAATGGAGAGTGCAGCGCCGAGTGTGGAGGTTTTTGTTGCTAAATTTGCAAGTGTGCATGTTCAAAACTACATGACACAATGTTTTATCACTTAATCACTTTGGTTGAATGCTTAACAGTTCTAAACAACACCTGGGTGGCTACAGCACTGCAAATTTTTAACCTTTTTTAGTACGGGCTTTCAACATCACGAACCATTTATCAACCATTTCCCCCACCCCCCCCCGACCTCCACCCATTGTCGAAGCCCTGGCCGAACGACTGCAGTGCACGTGAATCAGAGCATTCATCTGATATGAAACACCACATTGCCCACCGTCACACCGCTTCCAGAAGAGGGCCAAATTCGGAGAGGAACCCCTTTAGTTGATTGCTCAATTCTAATCCAATGAATTTTACGATCCTCAGTAAGCCATGCCTTATTTCCCCGAACTATATCATCACAATCACAACAGAAGGATATTAGCAGGAGGCCATACGTCAGCTAGCGTAGCCACGCCTGCAAATTACAATGACAATGACACGTGGGATTTTTTTCGTTGTGCACCTTAATAACAAATGGCGTGGCTATCATACCGAGGCATACACTTTCCCGGCGTTCAATCCAATGTAGTGTTATGCTACCTAGAAACAGTTCACATGACCCAATCTATCCATTCCTACCGTAACGGGGGAAGGGGGGGGGGGGGAGAGCGAACTTCTCCCTGTGCTCAGCTGACTAGTCCAACACTCAGCTGACTCGCCCGTCAATCACCGATCAGCGCCATCTTTCCGACGCTATGGCGTACTACGAACGTTGTCGCCGGTACAACGCTATCATTTTACTTTCAAGGGCGAAATACAAATACATGTCCAGACACAGATGTTTATTAGGCACCTCCATTCAATGGGCTTTATGGTGTTCATATCAATACATCACAAAACAATACATGTCCAACATGTATTCACAGATAATAGTCAATACTCACAAATGATATAATTCCACTGTTCACAGGTGTTGGTTGGCCTATAGGTTATCATTTGAAAGGTGGAATCAGCCTCCAAGAATGCCAGAATGCTTCATATGGAGAAAAAAATTGATATGGCATACCACAAAGGCCACTGGAATGAATATCTTTCAATACAAGCTACTAAAATGTTGCTAATTGCAATGAAGCATGATCTGGCCAATGTTCTTGACAGACCAGCCAAAAACGATGAGCTGAATCCTTTCCCAAAGCCAAGAAAAGCATAGCGACTTTAGAACGCGCAACATTGGGCATGGCTGATCTGTGCAACAGATGGCGGTTACACATCAGTGCCCATGCTACAAGCAAGCACTTCTGTTCCATTTAAGTTGTAGAGACCCGAGTATATGAACCACGCCCAAGGATCCATACACCAACATGACGAACGTCACCATCTCTCTGACACGCCGAAGTACACAATGGCCGTCGAGAATATCACAACACTACTTCTTTATTTTCGGTAGCGCCACATTTGGCAAAGTGAATACAATCCAGCCAACGGGGTCTTAAATGGTTTTCTACAAGAGGCAAATGTTGGACATAGGATACTATGCAAAATTAACTAAAAAATGAATGTACCAGGGATATTAAATTTTACCTACCTGAGAGCTTCACCCGGCAAGATTTAATGGACGTTCACCCTTCGTGACCTTAGAGCATTAGTGTGGAGATGGATCAAGAGCCTTTTCGATTTACTTAGCAATACCGTGAAAGAGGACAGAAAAAGGTGGAGAATGCCAAATGCGATTTAGGGAATAAATGTTTCTTCCAAACATTTATACTCATTTAAACTAGCTATAAAGCTCCAATAGCTATGTTTTGCTTCTGCCGTCGTCTTTCCCATTGCAATACAACACATCACTGGGCTTCCATGTTCTGCCATTTCTAAACCCTGCCAATGAAATAATATATGAATGAATTATTATGAGTGTCCGCCAACAGTTAATAGCTTGTATCACTTTCACGGCACATGAGATGAGAATAACTCCAATAAAAACATTTACTAATTATTTCGACCATTATTGCATGCCCATCTCTGGCAAACGGAGAACAGCAAGATCGATAATGGCGGCATGTCATCATTGCTGTGCTGTATAAGTCGCAAAAGGTTAACCAACCATTACAACATCTAAGCGACATAAGAAACAAACTCAAGTAAGTTACATGTATCTGTCGCGATGTGGCAGATTGGTCTTGGTTGGGAGAGTTGAAGACGTGGGATGATGGTAGTTCGGTTGGCCGCATTCGTCTCATTTCATTGTGGAAATTTTCCGGTTTTCGCCATAGCAGGGCCGACAGTATTTGCTGGATGTTGTTCATTGCTTAGCATGTTAGCATTCATGAACATACACACATTTTAAGAAGAATTTAGCATCCTGGCTTTTTAGTTAATTTGTCAAAAATAATTGTTGATATTTCATGACTGACAGTGGTTGTGGATAGTTTTACTAATTTAACTTGAGAAACATTACATTATGGATATATTAACCTACTGGCATAGGCACTTCGGTTGTTTCATCATAGGGATGCTTCCACATGTGCTGCTGAGATCTTTGTAAAATGTTTATTTGTCTTTCAGTGGTTGGTATGATGGCAAGTATGTCTATAAAAAAAAGACAATCGGATACCAGGAATGTCTCTTTCAAATTAGCTCAGGGCTGGCGGAAAGTGGTGGGAACAGGTTCATGCAGCCGGATTCCTTTTCCTTAAGAGCTGATGCCTATTGCTGCATATTTTATTCCTAACCCAGGTGCCATTGCTTGAAAATGTGCTGGTAAGTGCAGGTCAACCTTGCATTTAAATTAGTTTGAATGCCAATATTATATAATATGGTTAAAGGATGCTATGGGGAATAAATCAAAATCATGTGTGGTTAAAGGATACTATGTGGTACAAAATTAACAATATTCCACAAAGGGAAAACTTAAGATAGATATGTAGTATACCACCAATGCAGAGGAATGTTCTGCATTGGTCTGCATTTCATTGGTCCAGTATTCCTTTTTGCTCATATTTATGTGGGGCAGGGGGCCAGGAACATTCGGGAGGGGAGGGCCCCTCTTCCTGGAGGGGGGCTCAGGGCTGACAATATATGAAGTGGCATCCCTGGTAGACATTCCAGAATTGAATTGATATACATTTGGAAAGAAGCAGTAGGTTTAACATAACAGGCCTAGGGAAGGGGGAGGAGGGAGAGATTCTCTATGTCTCTGTCTATGTTTGTCTCTGTCTCTTGCTGCACTTGCCTTGTCTTTCCCTGACACTTCCTGTGAGATGTTTGTCCTGTTCTTATATAATATTCACCTTTGCTCTCCATTGCTTCATTTTTAAAAAGTTCCTGTATGTTTGTACATTGTCTAACCTTTGCACTCATTCTATGCTATCTAGCTCTGATATATCTGTGTTGTTTTTGACATTTTATTTTCCACACATCTTATTCACCACAAAAGGCCTTATGACTGTCAAACTCAAGAAATATCCATGTTCAGGCATTCTTTCTGTTAAAACAAGCAGATCCCTGACTATCTTGTGGCTTTGCCAGGCCATGTTTGAAACATTTTCCCCCATTTCTTACTATCTTGGTAGGCTGCATCATATCACACCATTTGTTTGGTACATCTTCTTTATCTTTCCTTTTTTGTTGCCCAAATGAATTATGTAAGCTTGTGTTCATGAAAGGATATCCTTTTAGTTTTCTTCTTAGGTCTCCTTCATAGATGCATTTTTTCCACTGCCACTCAAATGTGGGTATATTCATTAATTTTTCTACACATGTGTTACATATTTCTTCTGACAGAAAGGGCACACCATGAATAGATGAAAGGTGCTATATTTAGAGAGAGGAGAGAGAGAGAGAGAGAGGAGAGAGAGAGAGGAGAGAGGAGAGAGAGATAG